TTACACCCCCTTTTTGGTCACTTTTTGAGTGGACATTAAACCACTTAAATGTCCAATTTCGAATGTCCAGTTTGTTGCGGTACATGCGATTATGGCCATTTAATTCCACCTTGTGCCTTGTTACAACAGTCGAAGATCAAATCACTAAGGCTTGTGCCATTCTGATAATATATCTATTTTGCTAAAGGTATTAGTAAAAGTGTAACTTACTTAACATTTTAAGATAACCAATGGAGATTATTTTGTAAGTCTGATACATCTGTTCAATATCACGTGCAATACGATTAATCCACTGCATTTTAATCCTTCCCGGCGTTGCTTAAAGGTTGAAAATTTATTTAGAGTTTGAAAGAAAAACATATGGTCAAAGAAAGTAATCAGCACACTTACTATTTTACGTTTATTTCCCTTTGAAATTCTTCCGTGATAGAGTCTGCTATTTTGATAATAACTACTTTAATGTTGAGATAGTAAAACTGGTTTTAGAGTGGCAAGATTACAATTTTGGTGGTGTTTAAGTAAGAAGTGTTAGTTGTTTGTTTTGAATCCCTTAGGATGAAGATGCAGTAAACCAGTGAGGTGCGTTTATCGATATAATTTTTAACTGCGAACAAACTTTCTGCATTCTAGTTTCTAACTTCATACCTAATAGGCTACATAATATTTAAGTAAACTCAACTAAAAGTTACGACTAACATAAGAGATGTTCACAAGTGCAAAATTTTTAATAACATTTTATTTAAACGGGTTTAAAGATTGAGGTAACATTATAATATTTTAAACTAATACTATTATGTCGGACTGACTGTATCACGGACGAAAATATTGTGAAAATGCGGGTGGGTGAAGAAAATTCATCGCGCCCGAGCAGACGACTCCGCATCTCTTCAGTCTGCCCGCGACCATGACTCGTGCAACCGAGTTGAAACTTCAGGAGGGTAATTAAAATTAACTGTTTTACCTTTATAAAAGTGTTTTGTTGCAAAATCCCGTAACAGTGATAATTAAGGTAACATTATAGATTTTTTATGTGATGGGTGGGTATTTTAACTATTACGTAAAATTTAATTAAACCTACAAAAAATTACACACATCATCGCACATAAAAGAAAATATTCCCACGTGAAGTTCGAACGGTACAGTTCAGGCGACCTTATCGCTAGGAAGCAATATCTTCCGGGCAAAAAGTTACTTATAAATGTAGCTAAGCTAACTACAGTTCTTTGAAGCACCTATTTAAAATTAAAGTAACTACCTACTTATAATTTAATTATTTAGGTTAGATGTCTACATACATAATATATCTTTATCCTATAGGCTATAGCGCGTCAACATTATCAACAAATGAAATTGAAACTTGGCCTGGACCGCCTGGACCTACCGTCTGCAATAGATAACAGTGAAAAATAGTGTATTCATTTCGGTTTTGTATTGAGTATTTTTAATTTCCGCTTAAATTAGTTACACATATCGCACTACAGACAGTCAGAAAATGTAGAAAAAATACTTAATTTAATTATTTTGTGCTACAATATTATGTTAGAAATTAGAAATTGTTGTAGGTACCTACGTGTTGTTACAAGTTTTCCAATAGCAAGAGCTACTGTTTAGGCCGATTTTCATAATAAGTAAATTAAAGGAAACAGGAAAATCTTGTTGTTGTGCTTCAAGCTGTTTCAAAAATTACCCATCCACCATTTGGCTTCATAATCAGCAGGATCCAAGATTGTTTCATAATATCATTAATTATAATTCGATTTAGATTCTACCCACCTCTTGGAAGTTATACCTATAGCGTGAAGAGGTGACACACAGACACTTTCGCATTCATAATAGGTATTAGAATGGAAGTGTGGATATCGATAGTGCTTTGCACATGCTTACTGACATTTCTCTCACAGTGAAGCTCGGATAGTAAACAATTCTTTCCCGGCGCGGGTGTTATTTTTAGGTCAATAGCTTTTGAATTCGCTCATCGGTTAGTCGGACCAATGAAACATGCGCGCTTTATGCGCTTGCGCACCAAGAAGTTTCCACGTTACTTTATCCGATTGCTAGAAGAAGGGTTATGTTTGCGATTTCTAAAGTTTCGGTGCAGATTCTTAGTCTGCAGCGGGATAGAGAGTCTATGTGACTGTAGAGTCTAATTTATTTGATAAATTTATGATCACGAGATTAATTTACTTTTTCTCTGGCATGCGGTTATAGAAGGCGCGACGTGTAATAAAATTTTAATTGTCATTATGTACGCAATGTGGAAAACTTCGTTTTACACTGAAATGATTTAATTATTTTTTATCGCTCAATTCATTTATGTCTCTAAACTACAATGATTTATTCCTTCACGGCACGAGAGTATTATATTTTAGCTACATTAACATTATAATAATGTCCGTCAAGTATACTTATTTGGTCACAATATCACACTAATGGTACCGAAGAAGATTTTACAGAGAAACTAGGCAGCTGTGCTTGCGACAGTTGCGACTTCATAAGCGTGTAACCCTTATCACCTGAATAGGGGTTTGAAAAATACTTTAACGTCACTATTCTCAGACTTACACACATTTCATAAGAATCAGTCAAGCCGTTTTGGAGGAGTTCACGACAATTTTATATTTAGATAAGATAAGTAATTGAAGGTATCCTTCAATCCGTAACATTTTACAATGATGTAAGTAAATAATTTTCGGGTTTACCACCACTCAGTCCGCAAAACGTTTTCGTTTGGTGTCAATGAAAGCGCTAGACGAGTCATGCTTGGTGCGCCCGGTTTGTAGAGCGTAAGAGTGTAAAATTAATTTACATTGCAGATATGCCGTAAACTTGGTCCAGAAGGCTCTCTCCAGATCACTTCCAAGAAGGTCTAACCCAAGGCTGCTCAACCTTTTGAAGAGTCGGGCCAAACGGTGGGTTCAGTCGTTAACGACTGGCCACTTACATTTCTTATTTCAGTTACCGTGATTTTTTATTTTGGTGCGTATTTTCAAATCATACTTGCGCGGGCTTCTTAAAACTCTTATAGGCCTGGGGTTAAGCAGCTGCTTTGGTCTAACCCAATGGGTTACACTCCAGTAAATTTATTGACGCAGTGCCTGATTGCGAATTGATGAAGAGATGTACTAAGTCAAGTACCTACACCTACCTACATCTACATTTTTTTAATTGTAGTTTTCTTGCTTATAAAAATAAGTAAGTATGGACTCTACTTTTGAGCGCAGGGGTTTTTAAAAGCCTATCTACTTAAATAGAATATGTGTTTTAGAAGTGGTGTTACAAAACTATGGAGTGCTTTGTATTGTAAGGTTCTTTTACTTTGCTCTAGCTACGGAGAAAACACAGCCAGATGCGTCAAAATTCAAATAGCTCACCAGCTATTTGACGCATCTGGCTGTGTTTTACGTGTTCTTATTGATGCGTCAAATAGCTCTATTACAATAAGGAGTTAAAAGGAGTTGTATTATCAGTGAAACAGACGTTAGGAGTAGGGGTTTTGGTGGTGAGCCTACTACCCCTAGATTTATTGCATGTCTACTTGCGTGAGCCCGCTCAGTGTCATGGAGATCGGATGCATGCTCTGAACTGTCGAATATTGTGCTTGTGAGATCTGTGAAAATATTGTGAAGTGTTGTGGACAGTGGTGGTTTTAGGATTGCAAACAACGTGATACGAAAGCTTGTAATACTGGTGCGCTAAAATTGAGATCGCAAGTTTTTAGCGAGCGGTCAATGCACTTTGGAGTGGTACTAAATATATGCATACATAATTATTATTATGGCTGACTTTTGATTCGCAGAGATTAAGGCGCTGTATAAGGTAAAGATTTTTATTATTAATATTATGTAGGTACTTCCCATTCTAGCCATGTCGTGTTTCGTTCATAAAATAGTCGTTTATTTCAGGAAACACATTTTTCAATCACAGACATCAACCAATAGGAATCGTAGGAAGTGACATTCTAAATGTCAGTTACAAATTGGATTAAAAAAGTGAAGTTTATATTAAAAAAATACATTTAGGTGAAATAAAGTACACGCATTTACGCTTTTAGTAAAGTATAGGTACTATTACTTTATTTTAGCTAACTAGAATCTTTACTACTGATTTCCTTGCAATTATTTTTTCCATTTATAAGGAAAAATACTTTTAAAATGTTTTCAATAATCGATTATAAAAAAGTGAATCGTAATAACTAAGTAAGTTGTACTTGCAGTTTAATCGGTACGTGTACCTATAATGTTATAATTACGTGTGGGTTGTGTGATCTCTACCAATTATATTCTGTGCCTATATGAGTCAATATAACTTACTAGAATATTTTAAACTTGCGCTCAACAAAAGCCGCTATTATAAGTTCAAAAAGTATGAAACAAAAAATGTTGAAAAAAAGTTTCGAAGAGTTAGTCAGGTATTTGATTGAGGTCAAGGCTGTTAATTTTCATAGATTATATTTTCGGGATAGACAACACATTCACATCAAATTCAAAGGGCCTTATTATAAAAAAAACAACTAAATGATAAATCTGATTAGGCTGAAATCAATTAACGTAGAGTAACAAATTTTCATGTCACGTTTGTATGGATTTTCATATCAGGATGATATTTGATCATTTTGAAAAAACTATTTGTATGGCCTACTCACTACTAGAAAACTACTAGAAAAGCTTTAAAAAAAATGCTATGTGCATTGGCTAAGTTCCTAAAATAACTTGTCGTGTGTAACTTGTTGTAATTATTGACAATTTTTTTGTCAATAATTACAACCTTAGCGTCACATTGCTGACTGAATGGGGTTGTGAAAGTAATCCCGTCTTTTAGCAAACTTTTAGTTCAGCGCAGCCTGTGTACAGTGTAGTGGTGCCGACGGCACATCAAGTGAAACCCTGTATCTTTGTCGTTATAATGGGCGCGACTTTGGAACGAAAAGGTAGTCTGTGTACATTGGAGTCTTTGATAACGTGCGCGATAGTTCATTGCTGAATAACGCGCGCCACAGCACACGTCACAGCGCGGCTGGGCGGACCGCCCACTGAAACTCGGCTCTCAGTCACGACGTCCACTCCGCGCGGTCCGCCTGCCGTTACCCGCGGCGCAAGCCCAAATAAACTCTATCTTCTTCTATACAAACCACAAAATTGCATGACAGTGCGGTTCTTTTTTCAAAAATCAAGCGGGAAACGGCGAAACGCGTATCAGTTCCAAAATCAAAATTGTGTGTTTCGGTGAAAAGGGTGCAATTGTTTTGCAGGATTGAAGGATATACTAGCCAGGATTCTTTTTGATTGAGGTAAAATACTCTTTGCATATTTTTATTTTTTAATACATCTCCCATCTCCCGGATGAATGTATCAGAGCACTGTATAGTGAAAATGAGACCAATTGAGAGACCACGTCAAGGTCCTATTTATTCCTGGTACGTCATCCATCATGCACACTCATAGCATTGAGATTTGTTGGAGCGAAAAATTTTGTTTAAAAAATAGAGAGAAAGTATGAAATGTTCAACAATCAATAGCTTTTGATTTTGTGTCCTGGGTTCAATTACTGGGTAGGACATTACATTTATGAAAAAAATGTTGATAATAATGACGCCTCATGAAGCCTGTTTGACACTATTAGTAGTTAGTAGGTAGGCGTATACGCGCCACGATGGTAATCTTTTAACATAGGCATTTTATCGATTTTACGTGATAAGCCCATACATTTGTCGTCCAAAATCATCGTTAAGATTTTATCATAACTCCTATGCTAGCTCGGCAGGATTCTGAACTCAGTTTTGCAACCTACTTTATACCTACAAGATGATTAGATACGACAAATGGTCTAAAACTAAATGACTCTACATTTAGCGTTATATTATTTCAGTCTACGGTTATGGCGTCGCGTGACGAAGTGAGGTAGGGTAGCGACCCCTATGGAATCTAGTTTCTTATGAATCTACTACACATAACAGCGGTCACGCAAAATGTACCGTGAAAACAATGTGTTAAAGTTTACAATGCAACGCGTTCGACGCGCGTAAAATACGTCGATTTGCTTGGCAATCAATATTTATTTTCACGATAGTGTAAACAGTTTCACGAGTTTGGTAATTTTTCAGTTTATTTAAAGCTCGGCTTATTGGGAAGCAAAATTAATTAATTATTTATTTATTCAGGACATTTCAGGATATTTCAGGACAACCAAGAAGACAGACACAAGTACAAGCAGAGGGGTTTACATACATTATGAAACTTCTTGGGTGTTCAATGTGAGGCAAATTCATTAATTTTGGATAGACAATTGAGTTTCTTGCGCTGCTTCTTCTCAGCACTGGCCCATTTATTGTCCTGAAGCAGTGGTAGCGTTAATACTGGGACGTGTAAAAGTGCTTTTTTAAAGCCTACTTACAGAAATAAATGAGTTTTATTGAGTTTTTACTGAGTTTTTTAAATGCTTAGTATTGTCTATTATTCAAGCAAGGTGCACTTGTAGGCTGTGTACAGTGAGCTTCAAATAGTCCGTATCACCCAAAGTAGCCAAAAAGTTCGCAACACGTCTTTGTTATTTGGAATCAGGTTGTGTTGTCAATTTTTTGGCCACTTTGGGTGTCACGAACTACGCTGACTGTACCTATGTATTTATGAAAATGAAAAAAGCAGCCTGAGGTCCTATAAACGGAAATTGAACATTTGAGCTACGTTTTTGAGTATCCGTAGTCATCTTTCATGCATTTAAATGTGAATAAATTAATACAGCATCCGGTTCGAGTGAGTGCGGCTCAAACGGTACGTACTTATTATTGCAGTGCTTGGTAAAACAAGAGCGTGTATATGTAAAGTACATATTTGTAGAGTCGTTGAAATGCAAATTTGCTACATCTGTAGAGGTAAAAGCGTCGAGTGGGCAGCGCGACCTGTTTGCTATGATAAGTATTGTTCAATTTACAAATACACTTATCTTGTCTGTAAGTTCTCACTGAATATCAAATGGTATGTAACAATACGGCCATTATAATGATCTTTAACTACTTGCCATCATGAAAATGGATAACCATTTTTAGGAGCCTAAAAATACAATTCAAGTTTTGATTTTCATACCTCTAGTCGTGATTAAAGACGTGTTTTTCGCGATCAAGAATTTCCGAGTTAAAACGCTAAAAGACGGGCGTAATTTGTAAAAAAAAATGAAACTTAATAAAAATGAAAATAATTCACCTTATTATTTTGCTACAAATTCCCAAAAAGGCGTGCTCGCACATTTAAAAGCTCAAGGGAGTCCTACGTGGGAATATCGATCCCTACAATAGGAATGACCTTTAATAGCTTCTCACTATTTACATTGCAAAGTCGCATTGCGAAAACATTTAACGAATTACGCATATTCTTCCATTTCTTCCAAAGTTATCCAAAATGCGTCGACTTCGCTTGGCACTTCGCCATCGCCACCGTTTCTACGGAAGGTCGTTCGAAATCGAAAACGACGTGACTGAACGTAAACACAGGCGAATAAACAGCTTTTTTCGATTGCAAATTGATAATTAATTTGTCTTTACATAAGAATGAAATTCAGGCCATTTCTTTTTTATGGTAATTGAATACGATTTCTCGTTCTCGGTATAATGAAAGGCAAATCGAGTTGACAAATCTCCGTAGTCTCAGTTATACTAATTGGCTTATGGAGACCACTTACCAAATAAAGGCATTTTATCAAACAATACGCGTAAAAGATAATATAAATGTAATATTCCGCTACTTGCTGATTTCCTGCTTCAGAAATCCACTGCAGAACTCTACAACGAGCGGTTCTGGGCGGTATAAATTCAGCTGTTCAGCCTTTACAAAGTTTTCACAGTCCAACAGCAGACATTGCTGATTGAAAGAAAATGCGTTCTGAGCTACTAGCATGGCTGCTTAGCCATGACCTTGTAATGTAGAACCTACTACCTAAGCCATTTCAGGTTTTTTGCAGCCAACTCTTTTTTCATAAAACATAATATGTAACTCTACCTTGGGCGCTTTAAAACACGTGTAGATTGGTACAGCTATAGTCTATAGTTTGTAACACTAATTACGGGTACCTATTAACTTTCGTGTTGTGTAGTAGACCAAAGACAGCACCTGACTATTTGCACATTTTGCTGCGATGTGGTGTCGTCCATACAATAAGAAGCTTTTATCGAGCTTTCACGATTAACTATGCATTATTCAGATAGATAGTTGTGAAAACTCATCCCAATAACCATTCGTCTACACATAAAGATGTGCCGAATCTACTAAAGAATGCAAATGGGCGCAACGACTCTGTCATCACATATTATTATGTGGGTAGTGGGCGAGGAAGGACGTGCTAAAGGATACAGAAATAATCCAACTACATAAGAGATTATACATCTTTATGTATGTAACTCGTTTACGAATTGGGATTTGAGTTTAAAATTAGTTGTTAACTTGTAACCTGGTAGAGCTCCACAAAATACATAACCAATTAAAAGAAATCAGTTAAGAATGACTACTCATAAATTCTTAAGTAAAAGCTGGGGTTGGCTTTAATTTTTAATGTAAAATATTAATGAAATAATTTCACAAGTAACTTTTTGTATTTTATGGATAATCAAATCTTTTTAGAGCAATCTTTAACCTGTTTATTTTTGACACGCTTTATTTTGAAAGCTTTTGAGGCCATTGGCCCCGTCCCTAATATGTGTTGCTAGGCGATGATACGCAAACAAAAAGGTCCCTACTAGCTCTGGGAACTTGTGACTCAGCACTCAGCAGTCAGCACCATAGTATAGATGAATTCGAGTAGTCAAAAACATCACTGTTTGGGTTTTTATTGGCGGCCAAGCTGTAGATCCTGGCTACACGAGTTGTAGCGGTGGGAACGAGAGGTGGGAATAGTTCCGTAGTCAAATAAAAACATTTTCAGCAATCACTTTTCGTAGTTCGGACGCCATAGTTGGTGCATTCTTTAATTAGGTGCTCAAAGTATGAAGCTACAAGATCAGTCGACAGCACATTTAAACACTATCTTTTTGTTGGAAAATAGTATCTAACACAATTACATAAGATGCCATGGAGCTTGATTTGATATGCTGTCGTCTTTACATGCCAAGTCTGCCTCGTGCCGGCTGAAGTTAGACCAAGATAGCAATATTATGTATAGGTAGGTGTTTATTCATGTAAGAATATAGGTTTGAACGGGCAGTTACTAAAGACATCGGCAGTATTCGGCAGTAAGGATGATGGGCACAAATGTATGGAAAGTGGTACCCGCTCCAATAGCCATAACCAATATATATTTTAAAAGGCCTTTAGATGCAGGAAAATGTCTGCTATGGGGCCAGTTCTACTTCACGTTTTGAAAGCAGTAATTCCACTAAGTATTATAATGAAAGTATAACACAATCATCCATGTATACGAGTATGTATTATGACTACAATCTATTAATATAACTAAAAGAAGCATTGAAAAGGAAAGGATTATACCTACGATGAACTACCCAAGCTATTAGCCCTTTATTCGCTTTCATCATAATCATCATGACCATTTTAGCCATAGGACGTCCAGTTGAACATAGGCCTCCCCCAATGATTTCCTCAATGGCCGGTTGGTGGCGGCCTGCATCCAGCGCCTTCCCGCTACCTTTATGAGGTCGTCGGTCCATCTTGTGGGTGGACTTATTGGGTCTTGTGGGTTTATTCACTTTAGCAACCCATAATAAAACCCTTAAGAAGTAATAAAACTTTAACCCTAATTATTAATAAAAGTTACACCCTAGTTGAACTCTAGCTTAAATTGTCATTTGGTATGGAAATGTCATTTTAATCCTACTACTACTACTACGGTAGGTAGTACTTCTTTAAATAAAAATATTTATTTCACAATTATCCCCATCAATAATTATAGAGTTAAGGAAGGATGCTGGAGCAGTAAACCCTTCCTGCCTCGCGTAACCTAAGTACCATACGATGGACACGTAATGATACTTCTTCTTCTTCCTCGGTCCCTCACTGATGAGGATCGCGACCACAGATAGTGTTCCTCCACAGACTGCGGTCATAAGCTGTGTGGACCGCACGATGCAAACTCCCGCCCACCGTCTTCCTCACCGCGTCCGACCATCTCGTCGGTGCCCTGCCCCGAGCGCGTCTGCCTTCCATACTGTATGATACTTAGGTTACACAAAAAGTATCTTTATCTTCGAACGCAACCAGATCTGAGGCTGGTGGCCATAGTAAATGTTGTTCGTCTTGGTAAGACCTTTCAAATGACACTACAAACATAACTATTGGAGCCGGGTACCATTCTGCAAAAAAGTATGTATATCTTCGTACACAACCAGATCTGAGGCTGGTGGTCATAGTAAAAGTTGTTCATCTTGGTAAGACCTTTCAAACGATACTAGACACATATCTATTGGAGCCGGGTACCATTTTGCCCATTGTCCTTTACTTGATTTTACTAAGAAAGTGGATTATTCGAGAGTTCTCTCTCACTACATTTGGGACATTTTGCACAGCCAGTTGGATACAAGGATAACGGCTTATCACCGGCAACTTATGCACTTGCAATAGGTTGGATTTTGCAACTTTTGTAGTAGTCCGATACCGTCAACTGTTTTTACAATTCAAGTACCGTATTTGCGGGTTACTTTAGCTCTAGGGGGCAACTTTGGCTCAAAACAAAAGAAGATTTAATTTCCCACCTCTTACGACAGGGCAATTATTGACCCCTATTTATTTTTAGTTGGTTGCAAGATAGAACACACTTTATTGTACACCACGCAAGTCAAGAAAAGAAAAAGAAAGAAACATACAAAAGATATGGCACAATTTAGGCGGTCTTGTCTTTAAAGCTATTTCTTACAGACTGAGCTTGTCTAATAAAGAGATATTTTGGTCAGTTTCAATACTTTTTTTTGAGCCAAAGTTGCCATGTAGAGCTAAGGTTACCCGCTTCTACAGTATAGTATGAGGCTGTTTTACTATTATTTTTTACTATGCCGAAGATAGACTATATCCGGAGCGTTACATTGGCCGTGTCTCCACAGTCTCCAACGGAGTAATGATAACCTCAGGCTGATGAATATTCTCAGACGCATCGTTGTGCTCCATTTTCTTAGCCCGATATTAAATGTACAATATCATTTTTTGCCAGAAACAACGTAATTGAATTTAAAATGAGAAAAGTGTGTAAACGTTTACAAATTCTTAACGTTAGCCAATCGAAGCTTAAAAAGTACAAACGAAACCAGAACCTGTGTTATAAATACATTAAAAATACTTTTTCAGTTTAAAATTTATTACTATTTAGTAAATTGAGTTCTTCAGTCGACTAAAACCACGCGTTAATATTGGCGTTGTTGGATTCAAACTAGATTTCTGGTAGTATTAACCGATTGAGTCCCAGACGGCATTAATTAATGTCATTACAATTGATTATCTATTGTGTCTAGGTTCGCGGAGCTTGAAGGATTAATTAAAATAAAATAAATCTCAGATTTTAATTTAAATATATTGAAGATCCACTAACTAAGTAGAGACTCTGTGCCTCAACGAGTCGCCATTATTATTCTACTCAATTAACCTATAATTCACACTGTTTCTATTATGACGTTTGGATATAAATGTAGTAGTTCACTAGTAAATCATATTATCATTTGTCTTGAGTCACATAATATAAAACTCATGCTTGCTTCATCCTCTATTATGACTATGGATAGAGTCATAGATATTTTTACTTTGCTTTCTGACGAAAACAGATTTTATAGCAGAGCTTCTTTATGATTTCTTTTCCGACTAAAATAATAATAAAAATATGTTAAGTTTGGTACATTTTGTTCAATTCTCTCTAAATACTCTCTACAATACTGGTTGTATTGAAAAGTACCCGTTATGAAGGTATTAAAATTAAATAGCCTGTAATCAACTTGATAGTGGCGTAACTATGGGTGGCTTATTAATGTTTCATTATTATTCCTCTCTTAATATATTACTAGATATAAGTGGAATGTATTATTTTAGAGTAGCTTTTTGCCTGCGGCTTCTCCCGAGTGCATTTCTGTCTGCCACAAGAAGCCTTGATAAACCTACATAAAACATTCCTATGTTTCAAACTATGCATATACCATTCTTCTAAACTGTTTAGTTTCTAAAAGCTGAAGATAGTAAATAGACAGGTAGAGTTCTGTATGATTATTTGATTTCAATTTGTCGCGAAGCAAAACTTTTAAGCTCTATTAGTATTACTTATTATGTTATTGATAAACTTCTTTGACTTCGAGTATAAACACAATTTTAATATGTACTGTATAAATCACAACACATGCATGTTAACAGTGGTAGGTAGGTACAATCGCCCCTGCAGGAATCAAACCTGCAACCATAATTACGGAATGCAAACCACTGCATCTACGTTAGAAAGTTTTTGATAATGGCAATAAATAAAACATTGTTTTCAATAGTCTTGATGATCTAACTTGTAATTCTATTACGCCTAGCGTATTTTTGTTGAAGGAAATGCTTCTCTGTCAGCAAGTTATTTGTGTCAGTGTGTGAAGGTCATTCAGCTAACGTCTTGCCAACGCCGCCGGTCAAACCAAGCTTTACATTAGAAGAGATGAGCTCCCCGTTTCCTTCCCATTTATCAGTATTTTGTAATCGGTCGTTGACTCTACTTTGACCACGTATAGTTCTTCTTCTGATTTCTTCTGGCTTTGTTCGAGAAGTCAATAGAAGCCTGCTTTTAAAAAAATCATAAAATCTATATGTATAGGTAACTTACATAACTTTGTAAGTTGTTTCAAATGTTTATTGTCTATTAAGAGCTATCTAACTCACGATTTTTTCTACATCAAAAGTATCTAGAGGAAATTACCTTTTAAAACCCCTTAATAGTCACAAACTTGGTGGAAATTTAAACATTTCGAAATCTTTTTAAATTATTTCAGAGTGTACTTGTACAGTCAGCGTCAAATAGTTCGTGACACCCAAAGTAGTCTTTATTACAATCGGCATAAGGTTGTGTTGTCAACTTTTTGGCCATTTTGGATGTCACAAACCATTTGCTGACTGTAGGTACTATCAATTAATTCTATTTCCTATCCTAACACATAGCAAGTTACGAATGACTCATATTCGATAATAACCCGCTTGAATGCCGTAGTTTGAAGGTTTAGGCCGCTTTGTCCGTGTTATTGTCATATGTTTACTTTTCGGTTAAATTAAAACAACAATGCCCTAGAGCAGGGATTCCCAACAGTATCCCAAGAACGTCGAGAGGCGATGGGAAATAAATATAGAGAGTGGCTCTTTCCAAATTTGAACCCTGTTTGAAGAGGTCTATGATCACATGGAATCCAGGTGATCAAAGTGGAATAGACCTTTAGAGAAACTATAAAACACATCCTAGTTATTTCGGGTTTTTCTGATAATTTGTTACTTGGCTAGAACTATGGTATGGTAATTGTAAAATGGGAAGTTCCCAAGGGCGTCATAGTCAAACACGGTTCGGGAAACCCTGCCCTAGTGAATGCAAGTCGCATACATGTACAGGTTACAGTTTCTATCCCGGTAATTACTCCAATTGCACGAGTCCTTTGAGTTGCGAGCGTTTCCTTATTAAATCGAACCTAATTTATTTCAGGCTAGTTGAGCACGCATTTGAAATGTATGCTCAATTGTAGGTCTTGTTTTCAAAGGAATAGAGGCTAGATATCGAAATGGCCAGTTATTCAATATGCAACTAAAGACGTTTGACCTACTTGAACCGTGGTCTGTAGAGGTATAAGAATTATATTCTGTCCGTGTCAATTGATACAAGCCGTTCCAAACTTCATGATTAAATGCAAAAGGTAGTTTCGTTATTCGGAAAAAGCGTAATATGTATTTACAGGAGTATTAGATAGGCAGAGTACTCGTGGTGTTAAAGAAAATGAACTTTGATCTTGCTTGATATAAAGACAGCTGTGTCGTTATTAAAAAGTTTACACAAATTCGGATAGTTTTTGCGAGAAAAGTCAAACATCATGCATAAAGTAGCAATTTTTCACGGTCCTTTCTGAAAACCCCCTAAAAATATCTGGTATTTTTTACCAAATATTGTTGGATTCCCCATCGTGCCGTCGCCCCATTAGCGAAGTGGCGTGGTGTCGAGTGGCGCTCCCATTAAACTTGCTCTATTTGTGCCCGCTCTACATATACCAACACGACTATTCGGAATTCGGAACCAAACATATTAGCCTATTGTTCCCTATAAAATCTAGGCCATGGGGATATACAGAATAGTGATTTGACTGACTCTAGCTTTAATCAGAGTAAGATACTAATCTCGGAAAACTAGCGCGGTTTTTTTACGAGAGCTTTCGTTTTGTTCTGTATCTATTCCAATATTTTTAATTTCTTAGATATCTACTTTATCTTAAGATTATCTTAAACACAGTAAGAAATGGTTCTTTTTTGTTTTGTAGTCTAAGCTTTAGCAGTAACATCACATCAAAATAACGCCTTGTCTGATTTTTATTAGACTTGTTATTTTTTATCATAGATGAATCTCCAAAACTTTAACATCTACACATAAATGAACGTACCTACTTATGATCACCTATTTTGGTGTAGGTAAAATACATAAACCACAAAATTTATGATATTCATTTTAGAGTTGGTAGAGCCGGACATATTATATTTTACTTACTCAAAAATATTACGATGCGGTCATAAAAAGTGCAATGGTTAAAATTACGTAGATCTATTGTAAATCTTAACTGGATGAATTTTAACTTAAGATTTCATCTATACGGTCAGTTTTTGGATGTACGACAGTTCAACTGAGTAGCTTAACTGACCGTGAATGTCTAGATTTAAATTGTTAACAATCCTTAAGTATTTTTGTCACTGATGTTAAAAAACGATATTAATTTTAAATTCCAGAATTGGCATTTCATCCTGGCTCGGAACCACAGCACGAACGACAATCGATACAAACCAGCGATCCGTACATAGTACGAGGCCAAAGACCGCGGACCGTCGGGACACATCCCGAACTGAGAAACGACGCCGGTGACGTCACAAGATGGCGTCCACCGACACCTCGACCGCCAGCAGCCAGATCTCCGCCGGAGCTCCCGAGGAGCACAAGCGAACCGTCGACGAAGCATTCCTTAACAAACTAAAGAGCCTCGTCGAGAGGTTGCGACTTGAAAANTAGTCGCTCGTTTTATAATTCCCCATTATTATGTACCTGGACTGCATCTCTCTTAACACCAGGGGCGATTGCGGTCAAAAAATACCTCCCTTGTAATGCATAAAAAAAACTCAACCTTTTTTTAAATCAGAAGAATCTGAAGATTTGTCTGTACGGCGTATGCCTTTGCATTTTTCTGCAAAAGGATAAAATTTAACAAAAAAAATATCTGGCTTTCTATGGAGTACTGAGTTGTAGAGCTGTACCTACAGTTTTCGTCATCAAGCCTACAACAAAACCTCTGTATTCTGATCGCGCAACTGCAATATGCGTTATTAAAGTCATATCACAAGATCAAATGCATACCTCCTTGTCTGCGGTTGATAAAATTTAACGAGCACGCCTTAAAGAGCTTATTCATCTGTCCAACTCTGATGTCATTTAGTCAAGATTGCAGGCAATTCGTCGTGGACATTTATACTTGACCTTTTGCTAACTATACTGAGCACCACCTTGCTAAGATCATAACCATAGCAGAACTATTTTAACACGTATTCTTTAAATGACATAGTTCACAATAGAAAATGAAGAGCTAAATTAAATTAGCTTCAAAAACTAATGTTTGTAGGCGTTCCTAATTTGTCAGTTCCTGCACTATAAACTTCTGTAAGCTAGNCTTGAAAATGTGACCTTAAAGAAATCGCTCGACGTCGAGCGGAGCGAAGTACGAGCCCTGAAGGCTCACCACGAAAGCGCACTTAGAAATATAAAGACTGAACACAAAAAGAAAGAGGAAACCCTAGAGAAACAAATACGTACAAATAAGCCAGATAGAGTCAACGAAGATAGTCAAGCTAACAAAATAGTAGAACTAAAAAAGTTGACGATGGAAATTCAGTCTTTAAAAGCTGCGAACAAGGGTCTTCAAGAGAAACTTAAGGTAAAATAATTAATTTGTTTTATTCATAATATCACAACATGAAATTCTCTAATTAGTGCTTTCAACAGTAAGTTTAGTGTGTTAATTTTGTTTTTGTATAGGTTTCGTAGTTTTTCTCTGAACTTTGTGCATGTGCCTAACAAAGTTGCGATGCTTGTGTGCACATACTTCTACAAAGAATACCACGACACTAATAAAAAGTCCAATAAACCACACAAGAAATATTTCCTTAAGGTTACGTAAGTTTAGAGGTTTATCTTTGTTCTCAACGTTAATTAGTTTCTGGTTCCCTTTGTACTCCTCGGTTTTTGCCCAATATTGCAGAATTCCACCCTGATATAAGTGGTTAAGAATATCGTTCAGTTTGTTAAGGTAAGGACTTCCATATTTCAGGCCGTATACGATTGAACAGGGTACTGGGCATTCTGGAACAATATGGAAAACAGGTCGACCGTTATACTTATTAATTATATTCCTGCTGATGTACAGAGCATCAGTTTTTCTCATCAGAACAGCGTACTTGAACAGTCGCTCATCTATTATTTCTTTTTTCTTCACATCATTGACAAACTCGACTCGTGTCATAAAAGAGTCGTAATGTATATTTTCACTAATGCTCCTGTTGAATAGCCTGATATGCCGGTTATGTACTGCAAGAGTTAGATTGCTTCGTAATAATTCATCAAGTGAGTTGATGTTATCTCTGTAACGAGGATATGTTATCGCGGATGTAATTATTCCCTGAAACGAAAAAGAATGAAAAGATTTACATAATAAGTTACTCGGTAGATTTTCTAATATCTACATCACTTTTTTTGTTATTACTTACGTCGATAACGCAATTGACAACTAAAGAGTAATTGATTATCATGGCAATGATGAATCTGTATACAAATCCAGGAAATTTTACATCCACCGTTTGCCTTATAAAACATTTCACTAGATCCAGTACAGTCACGCCTATTGATCTATTTTCGTGTAGGCCCCAAAGTCGTATTTCCATTTCTCTTGCCACTAATGCTATAGATATAAGACATAAGAAATTGGTCATAAAAATTATGAGCATAGTGACTGATATCATTTTCGTGACTGTGCTAAAAGTCGACTGTTTGTCGTAACTTGCGACCATAAAACATAGATCATCTTGGGAAAGAGGGTAAGTAGTGTCGATGTAGCCGTAGTAGGAGTTTTTGAGGATTCGAGAACTCAGTTCTAAGTCAGTGAATCCGTCTATTAGGTCTGCAGTCACTCCTGTTGACGTCCCGTTTGGCATGAGGTCTCCCACCGTATTACCATCTCTTGGGAGCACTGCTTTACAAGTGGCGTTAAGCTCCTTCATCACTGTAAGACACAATCTCGAAGTACAGGCCGCTGGTAGTGTAGGTTCAATGAACACCTTTGTATAAACACTAAGCCTTAACTCGTGCCCGTAAAGATTGTCGTATTGATGACTCAACAATCGAAAAATGTCTTTAACGTCAGTAACATCTATGATCTGCTCTGTAAAAAAGTTGTAAGTGAAGGTCCAAAACTTGTCATCTAATAATGTTATAACCACTGAATTGGTGATGCTCCTGCTCCACAGTAATTTAAAGTGGTTTTTCATTGAGTAGAAGAAGTAGTTGTCTTTTGTTATTGGTACGTTTATGACGAATATGACCGTGCTCCTTGGTTTAAACACGCCTGTTCTCACCAAGGCTTCAACGATGTATTCGCTACCCTGCAGAGTCAGAGAATCAGATGTGATGACGTAAGCGGTTTGTCCATGAATGTTGATTCTTGGTTTGCTTCTAGTTCTGTTGGTGTTCGGGCACCCATTCAATAGTAAAACGGGGTATCCGTAGTCCATGTTTTCGGTGTATTTCAAGATTCTATTTTCGAAGTAAGTAAATTCACAGAAGGTAACAGTAAAGAACCATTGTCGGAAAGCGTTGTAAATTTTGTTTACGACTTGATACGCGTATTCTGCTTTGTAATACGTCTCGTTATGGTAAGTTTCGATCTCTTGAAATAGAACATTGGAAGTGCTAATACGCGTGCAGTGTAGTAGTAAAATGATCTTAAGGGCTGTTAACATTTTTATGACTCGAGTTTTACGTGTGGAGCGGTAGAGAGCACTAAATCTAACTGAGGCGTTGAAAGGGAATGTTAGAATGTTACATATTAGTCTGGTGTCAATTAGGTAGTGCAAAGCAAATAATAATATTTGCATGTCATATTGCTCCACACCTTTTCATACATTCTCATTAACTTCAACGGTGAAATGACACGTGAATTGACGATTAACGAGCTTGTATAACCAACCGGTAACTTAATGAGTCTAGTTCCGTTTGGTTCCGTATTCATTTGAAAGTTTTATTCTACTGTGAAAGCAGAAAAAGCTTGTTGGTAGTTAGTGAACATTCATTTTAATAAGTNACTTATAATAAGTTTTGATCGGTATTTCTCTGGTTTCGATGGTTCTGTTTTCGTATTTGATTGAGTACCTTATCTTAATTTATAAATCATCTCATTTTAGTAAATCTAACGTGGTCTAGTGTTTGGACAACCTTGGGGGAGGCCTTTGTGAAGCAGTGCTGTTGCTAAATCTAGGTAATAAATAAAAGTGACTGAGTTTCTTGCGCTGCTTCTTCTCAGCACTGGCCCATATATTGTCCTGAAGCAGTGGTAGGGTTAATACTGGGGCATGTCAAGCCTACTTGCATAAATGAGTTTTGTTTTATAAATGAATTATTGTTTTTCATCGACAGGTCGCTCAGGCGGCGGAGTGTGCGCGCGCAGCCGAGTTGCGCGCGCAAGCGGCCAAGCACGCGGCGCTAGAGCACGCCGCGCGTAGGGACGCACGCGCACAATGCCATAAGCTGGTAAGTGCCTGAAACATTATCCTTCTTTTTCTTTTTTTATGCCTAACAAGGCAGATATTTGACCGCAATCGCAACTGGTGTGATGTAGAGTAGAGTATGGTGTGATCTGCCCTGTCTTGTATCACAAATGTAAACCTATACAGTATCGTAACAGCTAGGGACTGGAATTCGCTGCCTGCTGCTGTCTTTCGCGATCACTATAATCCGGATCTTTTCAAGGCGAGAGTGTAGCACTTTATAGAGCAGATATGTACCATCCTGGACTGCATCTCCCTTAACACCAGGCGCGATTACGGTCAAAAAATACCTCCCTTGTTATGCATAAAAAAACTCAACCTTTTTTAAATCAGAATGTCGATGGAACTGAAGATTTGTCTGTACGGGGTATGCCTTTGCTTTTATCTGGCGTTCTATGGAGTACTGAGTTGTAGAGCTGTACCTACAGTTTTCCTCATCAAGCCTACGAGTACAACAAAACCTTTGTATTCTGATCGCGCAACTGCAATATGTGTTATTAAAGTCATATCGCAAGATCAAATGCATACCTCCTTGTCTGCGGTTGATAAAATTTAACGAGCACGCCTTAAAGAGCTTATTCATCTGTCCAACTCTGATGTCATTTAGTCAAGATCGCAGGCAATTCGTCCTGGACATTTATACTTGACCTTTTGCTAACTATACTGAGCACCACCTTGCTAAGATAATTCAACCATAGCAGAACTATTTTAACACGTATTATTTGAGTGACATAGTTCAGAATAGAAAATGAAGAGTAAATATAAATTAGCTTCAAAAACTAATGTATTTGTAGGCGTTCCTAATTTGTCAGTTCCTGCACTATAAACTTCTGTAAGCTAGACTTAAATTACGATATTAGTGGACTAGTTTCCTTTTTAATTTGTTGTTACTACGACACAATTTTAGACACGCTATGCTCCACCCACGCACTCCTAAACGGACGAAACGCCTGTGTTGATTGTAATAGCAACAATTCTCGCAGCGATGTTTTAGTGGTTAGTTTTCCATCAGGCTTGGTGCGTATAGTTTTCTTTTATGGTGTAATAAATCGTTTAATGATATTGTTCACAGCTGGAGGAAATAAAATCGAAGGAGCGGGTGATAATACAGCTGAGGAGAGAAGCGGCGCGGGCGACGACTCTCCAGAATGAACAGGTAGGTACTTACCTACTTTTAATAGTTTAGATCTTACTTTAGTACTTATACAACCTCATTGACATAGTACGAGTATTATTATGGCACTTTTATAAAACAAGAAGTTAAATATAAAACTGACTCACAGGAAAGATAAAATTTTCCATAATGGCTAAAATTTTCCTTTTTGTAATGATTTTGTAATTGCAATATGTAACAACGAAACAGTTGTTTTTGTTCATACATAATGGACAAGAGCTTAAACTGCTATTATGTAGAAACAGTAGTAATATTACCCAATTTATTACGAAGATTGATTACTAAAGAAAGACGAATAAAACAAACGCATGTGCAATATACCTACTCACGCCCGTATTCACAAACGATGCTTGCATAAATGAAGCAGCAAATAGAACGCACAGCGTTGAATAGGGCTCTATGATTGGTTCGTGTGTCAGGTACACATCACAGGATGCACACGTCTACAGCGTGGACTGACTTGTTGTTTGACTCTGCCTACATCCGAAACTATCCGAAACTTTTGAATCGGTTACGGTTACGTTTTTATTTCGGATATCCGAAAATTTCGGTTACGGTTACGAATATCCATAACATCCCTGGTCCACGCGCACTGTGACACCTCATAGTAATGTTTGTGAATACAGGCGTCACTGTCACACGTTACCCAACAATTTCACAATTCACACCTCTGGTTTTACGATGCGTTGACATTTAGGAGTTTCGTCACCTTTTATGGCCACCAGAGTGCAGTGCAGCTGCACTAGGTCTTCGCACTTTGGAGACGTGTTATTAGATAACAGTTGTATAAGGATGCGGCCATTATGGCCTGTGAGCTGAGTGCGAGTTTACATTAAACGCGCTCCCTAGTGAGCGCGTTTGAAAAAAACTCACACTCAGCCCTCTGAATGCTTCAAAGCTACTTAAATTGGATAATTTTTTAAATAATGACTGGCAACTAGTGGTGACTGAGTTTGATCCGGCTTTTCTTCTCAGCACTTGCCATGTTTGTTTCGAAACGCTGGTAGGGCCCAAAAGTTAGGATGTTGTTTTGACGTTCTTAAGTGCCAAAATATCGGTCTAAAAACTGAATAAAATAATTTTCATTTTTGATTTTGAATCTGTCTGACGTCATTCTGTCGTTAAAATATCAAGACAAATAAATAACTGTATTGGAACTTTTTGGTTACATGAAAAAGTTGTGTTTATCTGCTTTTAGAATATTAAATGTTGGTGATGACGATGTTTATATGTATAGCTAACACGCCTACAGCTCTACAAATAAAAACACCGCAAATAAAATCTTTTAGATAAACATGGCTGAAATGATGATGATGAGTTATACTCGTATTGTACCTGATTATTTGGAATGTAATACGCCACAAGTTCGGGGTTTTAACGGTAGCGCGTTTTCTTACATAACTTTTCAATTCCTATCATTGGAGGTCCGAAAATATTTCTCATACAATTTGATACCATAATGATCATTCTTCATAAAAAATTTAAAACCTACATATTTAAAAACATAATCATTGATATTCATAATATCACTAATCATACACATAGTTTTTACTAATATTTGTTTTCATATATTTTTCTATACTAATGATCGAAACTCATAATCATTCGAATAAATAACTATAATATTCATAAATGTGATGTATCCTAATATTTGTTTTCATAAATTTATTACTCATAAGTGTATTTNTCTGTCGTTAAAAATATCAAGACAAATAAATAAACTGTATTGGAACTTTTTGGTTACATGAAAAAGTTGTGTGTGAAAGAATTTATCTGCTTTTAGAATATTAAATGTTGGTGATGACGATGTTTATATGTATCTCTACAAATAAAAACACCGCAAATAAAAGCTTTTAGATAAACATGGCTGAAATGATGATGATGAGTTATACTCGTATTGTACCTGATTGTTTAATTAATAATATCCTTGGACATTTTTACACTGCGCCTCTAGTCCCAAACTAAGCAAAGCTTGTACTATGGGTACTAGACGACGGGATAAACATACTTATATACTTTTTTTTTTGTAAATACATACATATTATACATAGAAAACACCCAGACCCGTCACAGAAATTAAAATTCATCATTTCAATTTCTGCCCGGCCGGGAATCGAACCCGGGACCTCTCGGCATAGTAGTCCGTTCTGAACCACTACACCAAACGGCCGACGAATGAACGAACGGCGAACGAACGTTTGGAATGTAATACGCCACAAGTTCGGGGTTTTAACATAGTTACACATAAAGTATTTTAACATAAACTATTTCCTTGGTTGGTGTGAGTGTGAGAGTATCTAATGTGCCACAGCAGTGTAGCTGCATCCTTATTTTGATGGACCCACACGATGAGTTTATTTTTAAAGACGCTGAGTGCATGGCAGACTTAGCGTTATAGAAGGAAGCAGAACAGTTAGTAGTAAAAAATCATGCAGAGTCACAACATTAATTAGCAATTAATAAAGAAAATTTGAAAGTAGTTATAGGGTGTGCTTTGGTTGCAAAAAAATTAATAATAATGAAAATTGCTCTTCATATCTCAGTTGACTGATAGACATAACAATTCATAGCATTAGCTAAATTACTTAGCTACACACGTAAACACTTAGCTAAACTAATAATCACAACTTCTTTGAATGCTAGCAGTTAAAGAATACAATTCTATTAAATGTTTAAGAATGCCATAATTTCGGAGGAAATGCACGCAAATAATTTGTGGTGCGATCAGCCGGCGAGCCGAGCGTGCGAAAACGCCCGCGGTGTTTGACTCTCGTACGCTACTTAGGATGCGTTTAGTTCTAAACATAGGGCTGTAATTTCTCTTTTTACTAGTGATAAACATCTAATACATTCTATTGAATATGATTAAAATAGTTATGATTCAAGATATTCTGCTGAAAATATAGAGACCTCTTTCGTTGACAGTAAGCTGGTACTAGCATCTTATATCTCACAGCTCATCATTGTATCTTTCCCATCATTTACATTCACTTTAGGCCTGGTTCAGACGAAGCGATAATCGCTCGATTGCTGGAAGTTCTCGTACATTTATTTTGATATACATGAAAACTGGAACCGCACGGTTGCCGTTTCAGTGCCTCGCCCTATAGGAACCGCTTAGAAATCGTGCGTGTCTGGACCTGGCCTAAGCCTTCCTCTGCAGGACAGAACTGCTAAGAACCGATCCATGTTAGCTTTCATCTGATAGGTCTCTACATTCTAAATCAGTTCGTATATTCATTGAAGAGGTGTTGGCGATGCTACGTCTATTGCTATTTCAATCTACAAACATTCTGGGCTATGCCTACCCAACTGGTCACTAATATTACATTTTTTTTTTATGCATAACAAGGCAGGTATTTGACCACAATCGCACCTGATGTTAAGTGGGATGCAGTCTAGGATGGTAACATATCTGCCCTGTAAGTGCCTATTCACTCTCGCCTTGAAAGGCCCGGATTATAGTTTTCGGGAAAGACAGCAGCAGGCAACGAATTCCAGTCCCTAGCTGTTCGCATTATAAAAGAGTCATCGAAACGCTTAGTGCGAGCTGGTGGAATGTCAACAATATAGGGAATATAGGGATGGTACGCTTACCTGCGTCTGGTTCCCCGATGATGGAAGGGGGCTGGTGGAATTAATTCATGTAATTCTTTCGCACATTCTCCGAAGTGTAGCCTGTAGAAAACCGATAGGGATGCTACCTTACGGCGATGGTCAAGTTCCTGGAGCGCCGCTTCAACAAGGGTAGGGCTGTCGATAAGTCTTCTGGCACGCCTTTCCACCGAATCCAAAGCAGCCAAATGTTTCTTGGCAGAGCCGTCCCAGAGGTGGCAGCAGTATTCGATGCAAGGTCGGATCTGTGCTTTATAAAGCTGCAGCCTTTGCTTCTTGGAGAAGTACTGCCTTGCCCTCGAGAGGATACCAAGCTTTTTGGCAGCAGTTTTCGCTATGGATTCTATGTACTCGCCAAAGTTCAGCTTGCTGGACATTTCGATGCCCAAGAGTTGCAGTCGCTCGGTGATTGTAACTATATAATTATCATGATAGAGCAACGAAGACATGGCGCATTTTCTTAAACTTTACAAAATACATATAGATTTTACTTTACGATGACGTTAGAAGTGCAACAGGAGCCCACAAATTGACCATCCAACACGATAAATTGTAGAATACACTTTCGTTTTATCAGTTTTGTGAGGTGATGTGAATCACTAGTAGTGAGCTTTCTAAAAGCTGTGTCATAGGGCTATAATGGCTTCTCTACATATACACATCTACTTTAAGTTAGTTAACTAATGCGTTGTATGTATAATTTTACTAGCGTTAAAATCTGTTGATAGACGCGAAGGCTAAATATGACAAGTGTGATCGTAATCATTTTGCATGTTACGCAGCCCTGGCACTTAGGGAAATTATACTTACCTTATTATGGCTCTTATATGTATAACAACAGGGACTACATTCACCGTAGATGGCGGAAGAATGTATGAAATTTCCGAAAGTGATTACCCTGCCTTGGTCGAATTTAATTTTCTTTGCAATTTTAAGCACAGGTGAGAGTTAGGTGCCCGTGCGTAATTAGGGTCGAAGTTTTTGGGATTCGAGGACACCGTACGTCATTTTTGGAATATTAAGTACTTTGTGGTTTCTTTTATGCAATATTATTAGGTCAGCATGCTGCTTTGAAGGTTTGACGCAGGCCACCGACTTTTAGTTGGCCGATGGTTGGGCCCGATTCTAATTTGTTTGAAGAATCGGCCGATACCAAATCAGTGTAATGTGCGCACTTTCATATGTGTCCATACTGATTACTTAACATCCCGACCCAACTATCGGCCAACTAAAAGTCGGTGGTCTGCACCTAGGCTAATAGTATCAACTTGGATCCTTGTTTAGGAGTCCTGAATGCAGTCTTTTGGGTGAGGATGATGAGAGGCTACAATGTTAGTTATATGCTAGAGCTTTTGGTGAGAAAAACAGATAGGGGATAGATAGATAGTTGATAGGGGATAGGATCCCAAATTACTTTTTGTGTAGTAACAAAAAGATAAAAAGGAACTTTGAGTCGGAAGAATGAACCATTATTAAGAGTGGTAGCGTGGCTCATTTTATTAGCCGTACAGATCAGACCACAATTTTCTTTTCATTTATCCATTTCCAATTCGATAAAATCTACGTTATTACGTATTGGAATGACAAATAAATCGATTTGCAAATCCGCAATCGTCATAAAGTCCGCTCTGACAAAGGTAACTGCAATGCCTGCGATAACCTATGGATTGTTTCAACAGAGCTATATCTCAGATAATGAGCATTGTTGCAGAACGAGTCACAATGGAAAAATGTACCTACCCTCAGTGTTTCCACAATGTTTTGTGGACATGTTAAACGAAAGCTGGTCGCAAATGAAGCAGATGTCACTATTTTCCCAAGTTTTTAATTTGTATTTTATAGACATTTGATAGCTCAGAATTTTTTGTTGCGTCGACTCAGTCAATGTTACTGGCATGGCGTAGCTTCTTATGCCCTTTACAGTCCACTGCTGGACTATGAGCCTCCTCCACTATAGTGCCATAATCCCCACGCTTGGCAGGCGGGTTGGAGATCGCAGTTTAAAAGATTGATGTTTTTCAGAGAGCGCTGCTGCCTGTTCTCTGTTTGATGTGAAGTCTCTAAGTCGCCTCTTACGACACCCGCGGGTAGAGTAGGGGTTGGTGACAAATGTATTCTACTCTGCCGTTAC